GCCGCTGGGCTGCTCCGCTGCTGCCGCAGCTGCTGGCTGAGCTGAGCTGTAGCGCCGAGCTGGTCTCCATGCCTCCTGGTTGCCCGGCTGCACTCCGCCCCCGGCCGCCCTCCGCGCTGCGTGGAAGCCTCCCCAGTGCCGCCCGGCCAGCCTCCCTTGCCATCAGAGGCCACCTTGGCCCTCTGGCGCCCTGTGCAGCTGTGGGGCTGCCGGGCAGAAGCCGCTCCTTCCCGGCTTGCTGGGCTCCGGACCTCGGAAGCGGCCAGGGGGCGGGGAAGAGGGTGAGGCGGCGGCGATGCCCGCATGTGCATTGGAGGCCAGCTGGCCAGGCTGGGAGGGGAGAAGCGGTGCCTTCTGAATGGAGCTGGCGCTCCGGCCACGCCCCTCTCGTGTGCGATGGACTGCACGGCGTTGAAAGGGGCTCCCGCGACCCCGCCACTGTGATGGCGCTCAGGAGGCTGGAGGGGTGGGCAGGTCCTGGGGGGGCAGCTGGGAGAGGGCAAGAGGTGCCGGGATGAGGATGGGAGGTTCCAGGTTGGCGGGTGTGAGAGGGCAGCCGGTGGCTCCAAGGCACGCGGATCCTCCGCGCAGCTTCCAAGGCCCTGGATGTGCCGCCCCCACTTGTCTTTCTACCAGGTTCTCCGCCAAAGACTCCCCCCTCTCCGGGCAATTGTGTGGACCTGCTTGTGCGTCCTTGGCAGCGCCTCCCCCTTCAATCTCCTTCCTTCTCCATCTCCTTCCTTTCCCCTTCAATCTTCCTTCCTTCCTTCCATCTCCAACTCCATCCCTTCCCCTTCAATCTCCCTCTCCTTCCTTCCTTCCTTCCTTCCTTCCTTCCTTCCTTCCATCTCCATCCCTTGGCGGGTGTGAGAGGGCGGCCGGTGGCTCCGAGGCACGCGGATCCTCCGCGCAGCTTCCGAGGCCTTGGATGTGCCGCCGCTTGGCTCTCCACCAGGCTCTCCGCCAGAACCTTCCCCCCTCCCCGGGCAATTGTGCGGAGCTGCTTGTGCGTACTTGGCAGTGCCTCCCCCTTCAATCTCCTTCCTTCTCCATCTCCTTCCTTTCCCCTTCAATCTCCTTCCTTCGCCATCTCCTTCCTTTCCCCTTCAATCTTTCTTCTTTCCTTCCTTCCATCACCATCTCCATCCCTTCCTCTTCAATCTCTTTCTCCTTCCTTCCTTCCTTTCCCCTTCAATCTCCTTCCTTTCCCCTTCAATCTCCTTCCTTCCTTCCCCTTCCCTTCCTCCCAACATTTTTGAGCAAGGAAGAGTAAGCTTCTCCAGCCAGCATTGCTATATTGTTTTTGTGATTAATCACTATGCTTCAATTATATTCAATTCGTAACAATGAAAATACACCCTGCATATCAGATATTTACATTACAATTCATAACAGTAGCAAAATTACAGTTATGAAGTAGCAATGAAAATAATTTTATGGTTGGGGGTCACCACAACATGAGGAACTGTATTAAAGGGTCGCGGCATTAGGAAGGTTGAGAACCACTGCTCTAGCAGAAGCATCTTCAGATTTCCTCTCCTGTTGTTGGATATACTTTTTTTCCCCATCACCATCCTTACCAGCAAGTCTAATGGAGGCACCAAAGAGTATCAAAAAGGCCTTAGCCAAATGGAAGAGAAGTGTAGGAGAAGGCCAGGCTGAGCCCAAGGGAGGGGTCAAGCATGTCATCAGTCACAAGTCCCTTCACACCCACAAGAGAAATTCTTTTCTATGCTTAACTCCCCCAAATTTCCCTTGATCATTAGTAGTTCAAATTCTTGTACAGAGCTTAATCTTGCAATAAATCTTTACAGAGGTAGTCCTCGATTTACGATCACAATGGAGCCCAACATTTATCTTGCTATGTGAGACATTTGTTAAGTGAGTTTTGTCCCATTTTACATCCTTTCTTGCCACACTTGCCAAGCGGATCACTGCAGTTGTCAAGTTAGCAATGTGGTTGTTAAGTGAAACTGGCTTCCCCATTGACTTTGCAGGTCAGAAGGTCACAAAAGGTGCTCACATGACCCAGAGACACTGCAGCCATTGTAAATATGAAGCAGTTGCCAAGCATCTGGATTTTAATCACGTGACTGCAGGGATGCTGCAGAGGCTGTAAATGTGAAAAACAGTCATAAGTCACTTTTTCAGTGCCGTGGTAACTTTGAATGGTCACTAAATGAACTGTTGTAAGTCGAGGACTACCTGTATTCATTTGAACTTCCTGAATCTCCTGATTTCTCCGGCACTTGACATTAGGCTTTGTTTTTCAATAATAGGCTCCAAAATTTCTTCTTCAGTAGAAGAGAAACTGCTTCTCTCTTCAGCACATAACTGAACTACCTGGAAAACCCACAGCTTTGGGAAAACATTCCCCCCCCCCATTACTATTACCATTAGTATGGATGACTGTAAGATTACCAGACATGATGAGATTAGACCAGGAAAAAAGTATTGGGAAACAGAAAGACTCAACCCCACACCGTGTCTCTTAAAGCAGAAATTGCAATGACATTTGTTTATGCTTCAGCTCTAACATTCCACTTCCAGAGACACAGCGAGTTTACAACCTGAAAATAGTGGCAAAACCACCAAGGTCAGCAAAGGCAAGCGAAGGCAAAAGTAGGAAAGCATGTCTACAAACGTCCTGCTGTGTTTGTTTCGCTTCACATTTATTCCACAACTCTTTCGCCACAGCCTTGGCTGTCTGCTCAGTTAAATAAACCTGCTCTTTGCCTTGTTAGTTGTGAGGGCCATTCCAAACAGGCTGGTGGAGGTTGAGGTATACAAGTTTGCTTAAAGGAATTTTGAGGGATAAAGACAGAATTGGTATATGGAAGAAATTCCAGAGATTTTCCTGTAATTTATGATCCTGGGATTTGGGACGTGGGAGTGCAGAGCAGAGTTTGGCGGGGATAAGGGGATTGCATACTGCTGACTCAGTTGTGGTTTGTGGCTGTTTAATCAGCAGAGAAAGTGTTGCCATCATCATATATCCTAGAGAAGTCATTTTCCTTTGGTTTTGGAGTTGTTTTTCTCTGCTTCACGATCTTCTATTTCTCATATTTTTATTTATGTTTATTTATTAAATTATGTTTTTGTTTCTTAGATGTTTGTTTCTAGACTTGTAGACAATTAAAAGGTTTTATATCGGAGTTAGGGAACACGATGGCCATCAGTTTTAGTTCCATCATTTACAGATACTTTTAATCAGTGCTTTTTTTGAAAAAAAAAAAAAAAGGTGCCAGAACTCACACATGTCATACAACCCACCTTGCCTACCCTACAAGGTTCCATCCAAAAAAGGTGCCGGAATTCCGTTCTGGGTGTTCTGTGACAAAAAAAGCCCTGCTTTTAATTAAAAAAAAATCTGGCATGCTGCAAAATAAACATCAGCCTGGAACATTTATATACTACTAAAACTCTTATTGTCATGATCTTTAACTGAGTGAAATAATGTACCATAGTTTTTGAACCAAGGTAGCACAAATGGGCTAACTTACAGAATACATCCAAAATCCAGGACCTGTGATTCCCAAAGGCAATAAAATTTGAGAAAGTTGTGGCCGGTTTAGTGCTCCTGACTGCTGCTGCGATGCTGCTATGGTCAAATGCTCTTCATTTTCAACATTCCGTGACAATTTCCAAGCCAGGCTCACAATCCTCGCACCCTCCTTCTTCAGTAGCAGCCACTTACCTGCATTATCTCTAAACCAATGACCCAATGGGGCATGCATTATCTAATCATCTCTATATACTGTATTTACATAGTTTACTTATTTTTCCTTGCATTGCATTATTGTAATTCATGATGGTTTTTTTTTTAAAAAATGTATGGATTGTTCACTGCCCAAAGTTGTGTATTTAGGAGGGGTGGCTATATCAATTTCCTAAATAAAATAATATTAATTTGCTTAAATTTTAATTCTGTTTGATCATAAATAAACCCAGATTTAGTTTTCCAGCCATATACTTTTGGAACAGAATTTCTGGCATGCCACAAAAAGGTCTTGGGCAGCCTTCAACTGGAGAAAAACAAATGGAACAATCCTGTTTTATGAGATGTGTATGGAACTTTAAGCCTGACTGTATCTTTGGATTGTTGTTGTGACACTAAGAGAAACAGGCTTGTTCTGAACTATTTTAAAAGCTTGATTGGGTGCTCTCAGAAAAATTAACTGGGCTCCTTTGGAGGAACATGAGAAGAACTTTGTTGGATCAGGCCACAAGACCCCTTCTCCAGGACCCTGCTTCTCACAGGCATTTCCAGGCAGAGAATTGAAACAAAGGAGTTTCCCTTTAGCTATTTTTCCCAGCAACTAGCAAATTACCATTTCTGCATGCAAAAGTCCCCTGGAACAATAAATCACTCTTTCCAACAGGAATCCTCAGCCAACAGAAAGGAAGCCAAAACTAAGGCATGGGAAATGAGTGGGGTGAATCAACAGGCTTGGGGGCAGTTCAAGATTTGGCAGAGCAGTGTACTAAATCCTAATAAGGACCCTCTTGGTAGAACACAAATACTTTGCAGTGGGCTGATGTCACATTTCGGTTTTGTTTCTTTTTCCTTGTTGGTTGCGTTGTGACCTTTATTGAGTCCAAACTCTTTAACTTTTGAGGACAGTGAAATCTTAGTCAGCTTCCCACTGTCTGACTTGGAATTGTACTGGCTGGGAATGTCTGCATAAAATCTAGTCTACAGTATAACAAGATGTGTGGGATGAGATTTAACCATTATAAAGCTGGGCTGAATAAAGAGGGAAAAAAGGAAGAAGCAGTGTTCCCAAAGGCACTTTCTTCCTTTCCTAGCATTATCACTTTCACTCTGTTGCTAAAATCAAGTTCTTGATGGAAAATTCAACAAGGTCCAATTGGGGGAGGTTTGCTGGGAGAATAGAGGTTGATTGATTATTGCTGAAGGATACAACAAATGGCTAGTATGACTTTGGATGGAAAAATTCCACAGTTTATGCTCTTTCTTTCTCATTTTCCCATTCCAGGTCCATACTGTGTCAGTGCATATCCTCCTCACTCAGTCTTGGTAATCAATTCCACCTCCATAACCATCTTATTCAACAGTACAAAACATCGCTCAGGTCGTGGCTTCCTTCTTTCTTATGCCAGTGGCAACCGGTCAGGTAGGGAATACATCTCCATTGCATATTGCTTCAGTTGCCAATGCTGCACACTGTTAAAAACAAAAACAACACTGATGATGTTACTTACGTCTGCAAGAAAACCACCAAGCTCGGACAGCACCAAGCCCCAAACCTGGTTCATTAGAGTCAGCAGAATTCTAAAGGGAACATTTACAGCTGACCTTCATCTTGAAAGAATTGCCACAGGGCCAGTTACAATGTACATTGCCATGAGTATTTATGAGTCACTACTCCTCCCATGTGGCATCTTGCAATCTGTGGGATGAAATCATGAAAACAGCTTGGAATTTCTTTATCTGGTGAAAACTGAAAATAGCACTGGTAGCTGTCCATATTGGAATACGTTGCATTCCTCATATTGGTTTCTCATTTTTTTTTCTTCTGTTCAGTTGTGTTTTATTCTTAAAGACTGACTGGACAAGTCCCTGCAGTTTTCTTGGCAAGGTTTTTCAGAAGTGGTTTGTCATTGCCTCAGTCCTAGGCTGAGAGAAAGTGACTGGCCCAACATGGTTCAAATGGCTTCATAACCAAGGCGGGACTAGAACTCACAGTCTCCCAATTCTCCTGATGCCTTAACCACTAAACAAACTGGCTCTATCTTGCAATTTATTTAGGGCAGGGGTCTTCAAACTTGGCCCTTTTATGATTGTGGACTTCAACTCCCAGAATTCCTCAGCCAGGCACACTGGCTGAGGAATTCTGGGAGTTGAAGTCCACAAGTCGTAAAAGGGCCAAGTTTGAACACCTCTGATCTAGGGGTCCCAAATCTTAATCAGCCAGAGGAAACATAAAGTGTGCATTGTGGACACGCACATAAGTGTGGCCATAGCAGATATGTTCAGCCATACACATTTACCAGACGCAATGAAGTGAAAATCCAAAAACTAGAACTAGAATTTTTGGATTTTTTAAAGTGAGCAAAAGGACCTATATTTTCTAGTACTTCGTTTTTAAATGCAGAGGCAAAATAAATGTACTGAAGTTTAGGCATACTTACACCAAACTAAAAATGAATGGACATATAAAAGAGAAATAAAAGAGATAGTTTTAGGATTCAGAAATCCAGGGGGGAAAAAACCAGATCAAACAGCTCCATGTGACTCTAGAGTGCTTTCTGGGACTTGCACATTTTTCCTCAGAGTTTTTCTCTTTAGATTACTGTCTGGTATATCTGATTCACTTGGAGGTAATGAAAGACAGAGTCCAAAGTACATTACACACTTAGTTTTTAAACAATATTAATGGTATCTTCTATTTTCAGTATTAATATTTTTCATGCCTGCTTCTTCTAAACAGGCAAAAATGTAGAAATACTCCATTGCTGAGAATTCAGCAAATTGCAGCATCTTTGTAGCCAGAAGGAAAAAATATGCAATGTTTACAGAAAATTCAACAAATGCTTCATGATTATATAAAGACATTCTCTGCATGCAAGAAATTTCAGCAGTAAGCTTGTACTGTCACTTGTACTTTCACTTGAATGAGAGTTGCCTCAATCCGTTTGCTGCAAAATGACTTTACCCATTTCAGCACCTCAGAAAACTGGGATGGAGACTTGATTCCATTTCAGAATAGTTTATGAGCCAACTGTCATCAGGTGCAAAAAAAGTCAGGAACCAGGATAGAGTTCAAAAGTACTATAAGTTTATTTCATGCTACATATACACAAGAGTTTGAACTTCTAATGGTCAAGGCAAATTGGCGCCAGATAAAAATCAATGGACTTCAAGGGGGGGGGGGGCTGGACTTAGGTCTCTTATGGGGTGTAGACTCTAAACTGATGATGCATTTGACCCCACCATCAGGCTCAGCATAGAAATCTTCCCTTAATGACAAAAAACAAATTGAAAACTTACCTCCGTTATTTCTCCAACGTAAAGATTAATACAATTACTTCCATCATCTGGACTTTTGTGGACAATTTCTAATTGCCTTGTTCCTAAATTTATGTATTAATATAAATACAAATGTTGAAATGGGGGTGCTATAACCCCTATGATAACACCCACCTTCTAAACTGCTGTGTTGTCTCATTCTCACTTTCAGATTTGATTTCATGCTTGCAAAAAGGCATCCATTATAACACAGAACAAATCAGGTAAGAATCCTGAAGGCAGGACAAGAAGTAACGGATGGAAACTAATCAAGGAGAGAAGCAATCTAGAACTAAGGAGAAACTTCCTGACAGTTAGAACAATTAACCAGTGGAACAGCCTGCCTCCAGAAGCAGTGAATGCTCCAACACTGGAACTTTTTAAGAAGAGACTGGACAGCCATTTATCCGAAATGGTATAGGGTTTCCTGCTTGAGCAGGGGGTTGGACTAGATGACCTCCAAGGTCCCTTCCAACTTTATTATTATTATTATTATTATTATTATTATTATTATTATTATTATTATTATTATTTCTGATAAAAACTGTTCTGGTTGCTTCTAAATAAAGATCTTTTATGCAGTAGAACAAAACGAAATGAACTTATTAAAGCACAACTATGTGCAACTGCAATAGGGGAAGGAAGTTTAAATCTGGGTTTAAACCCTAGTTTTACTTTTCTAATTGTTTCAGAAATGGTAGCTTTGGAAGCAGTTTTCAACAGGTCAAGGATACACAGACCTTTTTTCTGTTAAGAAAGGACACTTTAAACATTATTTCCATCAGCTCCATTTCTCTGCCTTTGTTTAAAAAATTGCTATGGTGTCTTGCCAACTTTGGCTAATCTCAAAAAAAGCAAGCAGATCCAGTTATGAGTTCATGCTGTATTTTGCTGTATTTCCTGATATCATGTTTCTCAGTCTTGGCCACTTTAAGATATGTGGACTTCAATTCCCTGAATTCCTCAGCATTTCTCAACCGTGGCAATTTCCCCAGCATGCTGGCTGGGGAATTCTGGGAGTTGTAGTCCACACATCTTAAAATTGCTGAATTTGAGAAACATTGCTTTAGTTCTTGCTGCTACCCTAAAGTAAGGACTGGAATCTGTCTGCTTTTTGGTGCAATTGGCTCATTGTGTTTTTATGCGATAAAAGGGAACTTACAAAACATAGAAATACCATCTGAACTATTTGAATCTTAGTTGGCTAACAGTCTTGCATCTGTCTTTCTCTGTCTCTCTCACACAAATCATGTTCTTTTCTATTATTTTTATGCAGAGCTTATTGTCCTGCAGGCTGCAAGAGAGTGGCTGGTGACATCTGGGGAAATGTGAATCAAGGATACCGAGATGTGAGTTGCTCATTGTTGATCATGCATTCAAATGTGCTCTTGTTCAGAAAGTAGTGGCTTCAGAAGGTTATTTTCCTGAGGACATGGAACTTCCAAATGCTAGCTGATTGCAAGACCATTCCTGTTCCCATTTCAAGAGAAACTTTGCTTGAGGCAATCAAGTTCAACTTTCTTTGTGAAGAGCCTCATGGTGTGCTGACCGTGGTCCTGACTGTGTTGGCCTTGATTTTTGTTAATTTTGACCCCTATATTTTTCAGTTTAATGATATGGATTTCAGATTGGGACATGGGGAAAGGGAGTTGATATAGAGCAGGGGTGTCAAACTGCCAGCCCGTGGGCCGGACGTGTCACATGGAAGCTGCGCCCACCCCATTGCTGGCAATGGGAAAACCAGCCCGATACGTTGTGTGATGTCACAAGTTTGATATGCCTGATATAGAGTCTGGTCCACAAAGTGTAGTAATTTATAGATGGTGTGATAAGAATAAGATTGTTTCAGCAGAAGCCTATATTTGTGGAATTCTAACTCAAGAAAGATTTACATATCTCATAAGCCCAGGACTTCAAATCAGCTCTATATACTATTCATTTCAAGTAACTTTCTCTTTTCACAATTATCAACTATTGCTATTTTAAATTTATTTCAATGCCTGTGATTATATTTACTTGATATTAGACTCCTTTTAAACTGTTCACACTATTCTAGTTTAAGCTGTTTGAATAAGGTTAATGGTATTTTGGGTTAATGCTATTTTTATATATTGGAAGCCACTGTGTGAGATCAGAGTCCTTAAAGGCAGCCTAATTACTGCATATCTCTAATTAAGAATATTTTTTGTTATGGCCCACCTTTTAAGCAAAGAATAGAAAAGCATCAACATGACTCAAGGCAAGGAGGGGAAAAACAACCAAAATCTGCAACACATTATAGCAAAAAATCAGAGCATTTTTAAACAGCAGCAAAATGTGTAATAATGTCACACAAAACCTATTTAATGATTAATATTATTATTTTTATGCACATGTTTCTCTTGGGCGGCAGTTTGGAATCTGTCCAAGCCATTCCATAGGCAGAATTGGTTGCTCTGATCAACCCTTCAGCTCTTTCACAAATGTGAATGAACTGAGCCTCAGAAACTATAATGAAAAGCAGAATTGTTCTCATGGTATGCTTTCCACTTGATTTCTGTTGCCTGGAGATTTGACACAATTGTCCCCTTTTATTTATTGCCCTCCAGACATCTGTTCTTTGCAAAGCAGCTGTCCATGCTGGTGTAATCTTGGACGAGCTGGGGGGACCAATTGTGGTATCACAAGAGAAAGGAGTCACTCTTTACAAATCTAGTGTTGCCAACGGACTGCATTCAAAAAGGTGAGCATCCAACAGAACTGTAAAGTAGCCTACAATGACCACGGAACAATTGGTTCCTTTAGATCAGGGGTCTTCAAACTTGGTCCTTATGACTTGTGGACTTCAATTCCTAGAATTCCTCAGCCAGCATGCCTGGCTAAGGAATTCTGGGAGTTGAAGTCCACAAGTTATAAAAGGACCAAGTTTGAAGACCCCTGCTTTAGATGATCAGTTGATACTTTGCAGTTTGGTCTCAGATAAATTAAAATAATCCTTATTTTGCTATCTTCCGTCGTTTTTCATAAAAATAAAAATCCTATAGCCTTCTAAATACTATTGTTATATTATGGAAAAATCAGTACTACCAATATTAATGCACAAAGTATTTATCATTTTTTGTAAAGTAAGCAAGATATAAGATACTAATTGGCAATTTGTAGAAAGACACGATCCTCTAAGACTGATTGTTCATTACAGTGCTGGCCTTACAAAATGTACAGTAGTTATTTTTCATGAGTTAAAATATATAAATAAAAATAAAATCCAGCAGAACCAGTTCTCACGCTGTGCCAACATCTGCCTTGCCTCTTCTTTGATGGTTTCTATTCATCAGAAAAAAGGCTTTTGTTTTTACTGTTCTCAGATTGAAAGTTGTTTTCCAAGTTAGTAATGATTTTGGGCTTAAGTATCCTGAGACCCTAGAAATAGTGCAGGGAAGAGCAACAAATGTGGTAAGGGGTCTGGAGGCTAAACCGTTTGATGAAAATCTTCTAGTACTTGAAGGCTTCTCACAAAGAGGGAGTCAATTTATTCTCCAAAGCACATGAGAATAGGACAAGAAGCAATGGGTAGAAGTTCATCAAAGATCCAACCTAGAACTAAGGGGAAATTTCCTGATAGTGAGAACAATTAATTAGTGGAATGACTTGCCTCCAAATGTTGTAGGTATTCCATCATTGGAGGTTTTCAGGAAGAGGTTGGACAACCATTTGTCCAGAATGGCATAGAACAGAGGTGTCCCACCTTGGCAACCTCAAGACCTTTGGACTTGGCATGGCTGGCTGAGGAATTCTGGGAGTTGAAGTCCACAGGTCTTAAAGTTGCCAAGGTTGGACACCCCTGGTATGGAGTCCCCTGCTCAAGTAGAAGGTTAGACTGGAAAACCTCCAAGGTCCCTTCCAACTCTGTTATTCTGTATTCATTTATGTATGTTTCATTTTGAACAGGGGATCATTATCAGAAAAGCGCCTTATTTTTCACAAAGGTAAGTCTTTCAATGTTATCCATTTCTTTGGATGCTTCCTTGGAAAAACGCCTGCCTCCCATTTCTAAAATCAAAATGGCAAAATAATCATTTACAATAAACTGATGCTATTAAAGCAGCAAAGTGCTGTTGAGATCAGCAATTGGGTTTCCTCTGGAAAAAAAAAAAGCAACCAGGGAGAATTTCTACAATAGGAGTGCTCTATTAAAAAGGGCCTCTTGATGGATGGCAATGGAGCAGAAATCTATTGAATCTTGGATAAAAAATATCAGCTATATTTAAAGGATGTTAATTCCATTCTATTTAGGGGTCCCTTCCCAAGCTAGAACATTTCAGCTGTCTTGAACTAAACCTCTTGTCTCTCCAGACAGCATAACAGGAAATTATAATGCAACATTTTTGGAGAAATCCTGAGGAGGAAGGCTGGTTTATAGCTAAAAGATCCAGAAGAGCACTTAAAGTCAACATTAGGAACAAAGTAATATGCAAAAGTCAAGTGATAGGGTCAGAACGATAGACCCACTCAACCATGTAATTCATGATTGCAGCCAGTTGCTCTCAGCCCAACCCACCACCTTTTCAAATCTTTCCTGAACATTCAAAGAAAAGATAGGATAAAAATGCAATACTGAATAAGTTTTTTTTTTTTTTGAAAAACAGAGTTCTGGAAATACAGAAATCATGATGAGCTGGGCAGGGTAACTGTGAGGCTGATTGAAGAACTTCACTTCACCGTGTCCTTGTTTCCCCAGACTGTGCCAGGGCTTTGGAAGTTGCCAGCTTCAATGCTTCATCCTGCTGGCATGAGCAGAACATGCTGGGAGACCATCATGCTTGGGCCGCTGTGCGAGCAGCTTTTGCTGCTGATGGTTCGTCTTGGGCAGCAGATCACAGCTCTGCAAATGAATGGCTGGAAATAGATTTGGGTGGAAAGAGGAACATCACAGGTCAGTAAGTATCCTCATCATTTTCCTTTGTCTAAAAAACAGGGGTATCCAACCTTGGCAGCTTTAAGATTTGTGGACTTCAACTCCCAGAATTGCTGGCTGGGGAATTCTGGGAGTTGAAGTCCACAAGTCTTAAAGTTGCCAAGGTTGGACATCCCTGATTTAAATCAAATCATATTCTGGGACTCAGTGTCGGATCTGACCGCCTCCTTTTTCGTCCATTTTTTGACCTCCACCCTTTCATTCTCTCTTCCTTGCTTTTCCCGGCCCCCCTCCCTTTCTGCCTACCTGGTTCCTGTTCTATATGAAAGATGGGTGGACTGAACAAGCCTAATATATTCTGGCAAATCCACCCTTTATTTTGAGATGCCTGAGTGCACATGCGGTTTCTGTGTGGCCATCCTATAATGGAGCTAGTTTGATGAAGAAAATGGAGGCCTTGTAAGACCGAGGGACTGGAGGCTGGGTGGAATGCAAGAAGGGTGAAGGAAACTTATCAAACATCTCTCTCAATGGGGGCTGGTTGGAGCAAGGAGGCAGCCTTGGACATTCCAGCTGACCAACCTGAAGCTCTGCTGGACATGTCTTCTGTTTTTTCCCCCCGTCTGATCACAGTCCTTCAGTTAAATAGAAAAGAAACTGCTTTTGGTTTTTTTTCCTAAAGGAGAAAAAAATGTTAGAGAAATTCTTATGGGTAAGGGATTGGCTTTGGTACTAATTGTTATTGCAAGAAGGCCAAATTTGGGTGAATACTCTTGTTTTCACTGCAGTCTTGCCTCTCCAGCTGTCTGCAACTTCCTTGGCTTCTCTACTGCTATTTAACGCAAAGGAAAGACATTAGGAGCAACAGCCAAGGGAGTCTTGTAGCATCCTTTTTCATCACATAACATTCAAAGATTAAAATTAAGGTCAGCGATCCATCCAGCATCTCTGGATTTCTTGTTTGCTTGAAAAAATAGATCTTGAAGGGTTCAGAGAGCCTGGAGAAAAATTAGAAGGGTTCCAATAAAAAGTTAGAAAAACACTACTGATCTGTTTTAGCCATTGCTTGTCTCCTTAGAAAAAACAGAACTATTAGCAACTAGCCAATCTATTCTAGTTATAACAATAACAATAATAGAGTTGGAAGGGATCTTAGAGGTCATCTAGTCCAACCCCCTACTCAGGCAGGACAACCATTTCAGACAAATGGTTGTCCAGTCTCTTCTTGAAAACTTCCAGTGTTGGAGCATTCACAGCTTCTGGAGGCAGGTTGTTCCACTGGTTAATTGTTCTCACTGTCAGGAAATTTCTTCTTAGTTCTAGATTGCTCCTCTCCTTGATTAGTTTGCATCCATTGCTTCTTGTCCTAGTTCTAATCAGCACAGGTTTGGATGCACACTCTTATTTGAAACATGATGTCTCTAGAACAACCTTTCCCCCTACCTGGTATCTGCACAATATCTTGGACAACCACCATTCTGTTGTAATGTTTTTAATTCTTGGATAGAGGTCATAGCTGGACAATTGAATGTAGTTTCATCATAAACATACTTGACTTGTGCCTATAAATTTAGATACAAATTTTAACCGTATCTCTTCTAGGAATTGTCACCAAGGGGTCTTCCCAAAGATACAATTACTATGTCAAATCCTACCAGGTTCAGTTCAGCAGAGATGGCAAGAATTGGAAGACCTACAAATCCAGCAGCACCAATGAGGAAAAGGTGAAGTGGATTAAAATGAACAGCTGCTTTTAGTAAGAGTGGAAAATATCGATTACCATTATTGGGTATTGAGATTATTGAGTCTGTCATCTGTACTTCTTTTTTTTTTATTATTAAAAATTTTTATAAATTTTTACAAAAAGACAAAAAAAACAATACAATACAAAAACAAAGCAAAACAAAACAAAGCAAAACAAAACAAAACAACCCTTCCCCAACCCTCCCCAAAACCCCCACTCCCTCCCCCCCCCGGAGCTTCCCAGAGCAGAATATAGGTTTAATTAAAAAAAGTTAAAAGAATTATATGAAAAAAAAGAATATAACACTAATATATATATATATATATATAAAAATAAAAGTTATAAAAAAGCTAGATGATATTTTTTTATATCCAATTTAAATTGTATAAACTTTATCCATTTATCCCAAACAGCAAGAAATTTCTCTTGCGATTGTTCTTTTAAGAAAGCCGAAATCTTTGCCATTTCCGCCAAATAAGACACTTTAAGAAACCATTCCTGCAAAGTAGGCAAAGATTCCTTCTTCCAATATTGTCCTACTAACAGCCTTGCGGCTGTGATCAAGTTCAACATCAATATAACCTCCTTTGTATCACAATCCGTAACTATACCTAATAAAAATAATTGTGGAGTAAATTTTACCCTCCTTCTAAAAATTCTCTGAATATTCCACCATATCTTAATCCAAAAAGCTTTTATATTTCTGCACGACCACCAGATATGATAATAGGTGGCATCCAAACAACCACATCTCCAACATTTAGGCTGTAGGTCAGGGTACATAAAAGACAATTTTTGTGGATCAAGGTGCCATCTATAAAACATTTTATAAAAATTCTCCCTTAAATTCTGTGCTTGTGTAAATTTAACATTTCTCACCCAGATAGTTTCCCAGGTATCCAGTAGAACTGGTTCACCAAAATTCTGCGCCCATTTAATCATACAATCCTTAATTAATTCTGTTTCTGAATCCAATTCCACTAGAACCCCATAAATTCTCTTAATGTGAGTTTGTCTTTGATCCTTCACTTGCTTAATAAAATTTTCATCTTCTCTGAGAAAACCCACCTTACAATCCATCTTCCATCTGTCTACTAATTGCCTATATTGAAACCAAGAATAAATGATATTTTCATGTGCTAGCTCTTCCAATAGTTTTAACTGCCAATTTTGTCCATCCCATCTAAGCAACTGTGTATAAGACACCGTATCCATTTTGACACCTCTTTTTATCCCCTCTATCGCATGCCAAGGTATAGCCCATAATGGTATTTTAAAATCACTTTTATAATATTTTCTCCAAACCCTAAGTAAAGAGATTCTTATAATATGAGATTTAAAAGCCCGGTCCACTTTTTCATCTGTACTTCTATAATTCTCTGGTTTGGTCCAGCAACCAAACAGGAGAGGTATAGACTTTAACAGATAAATAGAACTGCAGAAAAAGCAGTTGCAACCAGCCTGCCTTCCATGGAAGACCTGTATATTGCACGGGTCAGAAAGAGTGCTGAGAAAGTATCTACCAACCCTTCATATTCTGGACATAAACTGCTTCAACTTTACCCCCAGGACACCTCTATAGAGCATTGCATGCCAAAACAACTAGGCACAAATGTGGTAGTCTCCCATGAAGAATGAGACACGCACGTAGGTATCTCGGGATGAGAGCCCAGAGCTGACTCCAAGATCCTCTTTTATTGTTACAATAGTTTTTACATCACACGGCGTAATCAAAAGGCGTATACAAGGGCGGTTACAATGTATCACATAGCAGACACTTTCCAGATGCAAGACTGTGCAGGTGGGTGATGACTCATCCATCCTGTTTCCCGTGTTCTTATCAGAGCCTATCCAAATGGCTGATGGATGTGTTCCGTGGCTGGAACGGTCTGTTTTGGTATGTCAAGGACTGTATGGGAGCAAGTCTATAAGCAAATCTATGCAAGCATTCCGACATCTCCTCCTTTTCTGTTTTTTCAATGTTGCATTCCTCCAGTTCCAGAAGGGATTTTGTTTCACTGATTAAGGCGTCCTTCCTAGTGGAGGGCGTAACATTTTTGCACATTTGCAGGAGGGAGGGAATATATTGAATGCAACAACATAGCAATACAATTAATATCAAAATGGTTACTATAATAGAAATCAAAGATCGTAGCCAGGATCCATCCGGCAGCCAGGACCAAAGGGCACCCCAAATGTCCACGGTGCTTGATCCATCGCTGCGTAAGGGACTGTTTTGGATCATAGATTCCATTTTTCTTACTGTAGCGGAAATATTAGGTTGAAAATCATGTATATACATACAACAATGAGAATGAATTAAAGCACATACACCGCCTTTTGCTGCTAAAATAATATCTAAAGCATACCGATTTTGCAAAACTACTTCCCTTATTTCCCCCATTTCTTGATTAATCATTTTAATGCTGTTGATTGTTTCATTAAACATATGAACAGTCCAATTGTTAAGCAAATGAAGGTCCCGATAGTTCATGGCAACTCCTAGATTGGGCAGTATCCCTCTGCTGATTTGAGTCTCTAAACTACCACCCAATGTTAGGGGTGGATCCGAGGAACCAGTATCACGTTTGTTCCATAGGCGTCCATCAGGGAGATGAGGCACGGCATATACAGCAGGGGTCAAAAGGCCCAGTGTACAGGTGCCTTTCCAATCCCTAGGCACCTGGTGATAGGCTCTACGGCCACATAGTAGCCACATATTGGATAACTCATAATAACCCTAGCAAGACTCATTAGCAAATGTTATTATGGATTCCATGTCAAGGCAAGCCATGTAGGTACTGACGTTCGTCCATTGATTGCTTCGATAAGTGTCGTTTATCTGAGTAAGGTTGCTTTTGATGGATTTGCATTTCTTTGCAGAATTCCATATAATAACTTGTTGACAATTACTATAATTTCCCAAATAAGTGGCAGTAGTGAATAGTCCTGTGCTATAAAAACAAAATCGGGCAGGTTCCATTATACGAGCGCCCACAGCATATGTCATATTCAACGTCTCTGTTGTTACATTCCATAGCTGCTTCCATCCTGTTTCATTGAATGGGATGGCATAAAAAATGAGGCCACCACGACTGTCACCAGGAATTTGCATGCAAATCCAACAGTTCGTGACGTTAAGTGTAAGAGCAGTGCGCCTGGCATCCCGTACAAAAGCATTAAAAGCCCACAGTCCCTAATCCTCATATGCCTGGCTGAGGTGGTGTACGTTGAGCCATATAAGGATGAACACAATGAGCTGGAGTCCAAATGATCTCGCCATGGTCGTCTATTGCAGCGTAGCCTCGACCCCAGGTAATGAGGGAGGTAGGCCCTTTCCAGTTGGGATCAGGCAAACGTCGATAGTATACCTGGGGGTGTGAAGAATCTGTGGGAGAAGCAGAAAAATGCCTGCTTGCAGCGGTTGAGCCAGGGGTGCCAGAAACATTCAAAAAGTTTAAGGTAAAAAGTACAATATTAAGAGTGTTTTGTATCCCAGGCAAGCCGGGGGTATTTTCCCCTTTCTTTTTTGCATGCATGTCTAGAGCCCTTTTTACGGTCTGATTGGCTCGTTCCACGATCGCTTGACCAGTGGAGTTATATGGAATGCCAAATTTATGAACAATAGACCAGCGAATGCAAAACTGCGCAAAGGAGGTGCTGGTAAAAGCAGGACCATTGTCTGTTTTTATTTCTTTTGGGTTGCCCAGGATAGAAAAAGTACGAATACAATGATTAATAACATGTTTAGCAGACTCACCCCTTTGAGGGGTGGCCATAATAAAACCTGAATAGGTGTCAATGGAAACATGCAGATATTTCCAGGGGGCAAATGGCAAATATTGCGTAACATCCATTTGCCAAAGTTGACAGCTCTGCGTCCCTCTTGGGTTGACCCCTTGAGGAACAGAGTGTGCTTGGAGGCTGCAGGTGGGACATTGTTATATGATAGCCGCAGCCTCCGTAGCCGTTAAAGAAAATTGTTTCATTAAAGCCTTCTTATTTTGATGAAAATACGAATGGCTGTCCCATGGGGTTATGGGAGATAAAACAAGGACAGAGACGTCCTGGTGAGTCGAGGCGGCCGAAGCGGCAGCATCCGCCTTGGCATTGCCTTCGGAGATAATACCGGGGAAAGGTTGGTGACTTCTAATATGAGCAGGAAAAAAATAGAGCGGGAATGGAGAAGGGATTGGAGTGTGAGAAATAAACTAAGGAGAGAGTCATCCAATGAAGGTGATACATATGAGTCAGATAAAGAGGTGAGAACTTTATATACATAAAGACTATCTAAAATAAGATTAAAAGGTTCAGAAGGAAAAGTTTGTAAAGCTAAGATTGTAGCGGCAAGTTCAGCACGCTGAGCAGAAATTTGAGGAGGAGTAATTTTTGTGTGCCATTGTTCACCCTCCTTCCATACACATGAGTCATAGGTCTTGCTGCCATCAACATAGAGGGTGACAGCGTTAGGAATGGGAAAAGAAGAAATAGGGGAATGCAGAGAAATTGAGACATTATTAAGGAGTTGGAAGTGAGGATCAGAGGGAATATGACAGGAAACAGATCCTGCCCAATCAGCAAGAGAAAGTTGCAATACATCTGAAGAGGCAAATAAAGGTTCCCATATAGTAAGAGACATGGGGACATATAAAAGAACAATATCAAATCCAATTAAACATTTTGCTCGAAAACGGCCCTTCGTAATTAAAAGAGCAAACATATATGGCAGTGGATTGATAGATTTGCGAGGGGTATTGGGGAGGTGAATCCATTCGACAATGGAGACCCTCCCCTTTTGATGTTGGAGAAGGGCAGCTGTAGGAATAGAGGGAGTATTAAATATAGCCAAAGACAGAGGCTCATTGGGAATGGCTCGGTCCACGCAGCGGGTGGAGAGGGCACTATTAATTAGGGCAAAGACATGTTTTTGAGTGGGGTTAAGAACAACAACAGAGGAGGGGGAAGTGTGGCCTCGCAGAG